TGGGCCTGAATCAAGACTGAGATACTGATGAAATAAACTGTGAATCCCCTAACATGGAATTAATGTGAGTTTAATGCCACAAAATAAAATTCAATTCAATTTTATTTGTATAGCGCCACATCATAATATACATTATCTCAAGACACTTTACATAGAAGGTCAAGAACTTAAAATTATTATTATTATGTTATTAATATAGAGAAACCCAACCGTTCTCACAATGAGCAGCACTTTGTCGACTGTGGAGAGAAAAAACTCCCTCATTAACAGGGAGAAACCTCAAGAACCAGACTCAATGTGGGCGTTCATCTGCCTCTACTGGTTGGGGTGAGCAGAGAAAAAAGAGGAGGAGAGGAGAGATGGGTGGAAAAGGGCGGGAGAAGAGAAAGAGATAGTGGGGAGGGGGAGAGAGAGGAGAGAGAGAGACCAGGAACACATTAGGTATCAGATGGTGTTAAAATAAATGTATAAATAATAAATAAATGAACATTATCTCAATATTGACATCATAACTTTAGACATTTTATACGGTAAGGGTAAGTTTTTACTATGAGTATAGTTACTATAGAGAAACCAAACAGTCCCCAAATACATCGTGACAGTGGAAAGAGAAAAAAACTCCTTTTTAACAAGAAGAAACCTCTGAGAGAGAGAGGGAGAGAAAGGGAGAGAGAGAGAGAGGGTTTGCAGACATGACGGACATTCTCTGCTGAGAAGCATTTTGCAACAGCATCTAATCCTCCAGAGAATTCAGCTGAGGGGTGGTGCATCAGGAAGAGGCAGCATGTAATGCATTCATTATTTTGCAATAAATCGCGTGTCCACACTGGTGTCTGCTCTTATTGGCAGTGTGGCTGTGACTCAGGGGTAAAGCAGGTCGTCCTTTAACCACTGGTTTGATCCCAGTCTTCCCCATTCCGCATGGTGACAAGTGTACTGACAAGACTGACCATTTATCACCACAAACTCACCGGGGGCCAGAAACTCCAGAGGCTCTCAGACATTTGTGTTCACACATACACCCCCTGTGGGTGGACCTTTGTCAATAATGGGGGTTGGACAAGGTGCTTGTTTACTACAGGTGTATGAATAGAAATCTTCTGAATACCCAAGCATTTTTCAAACTGTTTCAAAATGTGTATTGATTGGGTTACGTTTATATGCCATAAATTCTGTCCTTATGTGGACTGATTTATTGATCCACTTAAAAGAAAAGATCTGGTTTAGCAACTTAAAAGAAGATTGGGGTATCAAAATAGGTATGGCTTGGAACAAACACGAATTTGGATACACGCTTTTATGTTGAAGTTTCTTCTTAAAACCCACGCAGTTTTTTTTTCAGATTCATACATTCACCAATGTTTTCTTATCTGGGATTTGTTCTTATGCACACTGACGAGCACTCTTATGCACACTTGACAACTGAAATTATTGTGTAAAATAATCAGTCATTGTGTTTTTTACTTTTAATTCTACAGTTGTATAATAACATTTAAATCACTCTAATATTTTATATTTTTATTTAAAAAAAGTTTCAGTAGATGTTATAATAGTTTCAAATGCATGGAAATGTTGAAGAGGAGAACACACCCACTCTATTTGGTCTGTACAGCAATAGATCACACTATTTAAACACATGATCATGTTGAAGGAGGAGGAGATTATTTACACACAAAAATAGTCACCCATCTTTAGGTTTTACAAACTGGTGCTCACATCTTACATGTGTCACTTGTTCCATAGTTTTACTAATGCAGCTAGTTAAAATCTTATGTCCAAGCCTGTTACAGTGCTGTGTTTCCAATGATGTGCCGCTCCAGCTCAGATAACTTGATAACTGTGAATATTCCTCTTCTTTTCCCTTACCCCTCTCTCTTCTGTGTTTAACAATATTTATTTTGACTTCAAATCTGAGATCAAACTATTTTGCTTCAATTAACTTCAATTATGCAACTTTCTCCTGATACAGCTTTTACTGAACTTATCACTGCATTCCACGTATCATTTTTTGTAGTATGTTCACTGCTGACACTACAAAATATAACAACTGTTTTCATGGTTTGAGTCTGGTGCGGCGCCGTCTTTAGATTTTTCTTCAGTCACTCCTGCTATTTGAAAGGTTTTTTCAGTGATTTCTCTGTGTGCACACTGCGCCCCAGTCTCATGCCCTTTTATGGACATTGGCGGGGCGCCATATGGTAATTAGAAAAATTTGACATCTGCTTTCAATTACGAAGACATGGTATTCGTCAATAAGTGAACAATTCTGCAGTTTAAGAAAGTGTCATGAATCTGACTGAGTCTTCTTAGCAGACCTCTTAAGAACACATTCCCAACATTCATCTTTAGGGAGTTTGTTCTCCCAATGAGAGACAACAGTAAAATAGACCAGCGCTTAACTTATTTTCCCTGTTTTAGAAGAGGAGTAGAATTGTGAATGGAATAACTTGTCAGATTGGTCATTTTTACTCC